CAGAAGCCATGGAGCTAGGTGTCCGAAAACCATTTAGGATGCTAATTTAGGCCCTTCTATTTTTTTAAGTTTGTTTTAGGCTCTCCTTTTTAAAAAAAAATTTGTATCCACAACTATGAAAAAAAATCATGCAAAATGTTTCTCAAACATCCAGTCTTACACCAAGAATTTAATTCATTAAGTAATTTCTATTTTGAAATTATCTTTTTAATCTTCATTAATTGTTGATAAATAATAATTATTGCTTTTTTTTGAGCTTGTCATTGTTTCTTTAAGTGACTTTTATGATACATTTCCACCCGTCATTTCACTTCTAAGACAATGGACTAAACTATGTAAAGAACCATATGAAAACATACCTAGTAAAAAAACTGAACTGGACTGAAGTCTTGTGCATGTAGTAAAACAAATCATGAACAAATAGATTCCAGCCCTTTTCTTTGTGACAATTTTTCTCTTAATGATTGGGAGTTATTTTAGGTATGTAATATTCGGAACTTTGGGATTTATAAATCCAAGTATCTTAAAAACTGCAGTGACAGAAAAATCATTGAGCTCTTTTCTCTCCAGAGAATAAACAAAGCTCACATTTCAAACTCTGCAGCTTCCTATTATCCCAAGAGACCTTTTCTTCATTAGCACTGACATTAATTTTCCAGCAGCTGTAGAAGGATAGGTAAAACGTACATTTATCTTCAAAACCTCATTGCCGCTGTTCTCCTGAAGCATTCTCTGACAGCCACTTGTTTGAACATCTAGTAAATGATTGGTCATGGCAAATAGGTCTTTAATCAAAGCAAATGATAACAGTGACAACACTTGGCTCTTGTGTGTCACTTCTGCCTCTTCCACCTCATCCTGCAGCTACTAATGTTCCTGTAGTATTCTTTGGCATGTGCTACAGACACTTTTTTATTTTCTGTTCTTTAGTCCTCAGCAGACTATGGGAAAACTGTTATTTGCATTGCATGGGTACAAAACACATGATGAGCAGGCAGGTATCACCAGCAACCACCTACATGTATGGATTGAAATTTATACATCTCTATGCATGACACAATTGTCCTTACTGACAAGAAAAGGTTTTTATTCCAATTTCTCAGAGCACCTCGCAATGAATCACAAAAAATTTGCTTTCATTAGATAAATGTGAAGTTGCTACAATGCTACATATCACAATTACTACAAAGCCCATTTATTCAATATAAGGGAGATAATTCATATCAGAGAAAGTGAAAAAATATCTATCAGCCATAAATAACACATGCAAAATGTGAAACAGATTTCCGAGCTGAGATTATACAGAAATATAGGATATGTCTGTCAAACTCAGTCCTATAATTATAATCCTTTACAAACTTCTTTAGAAGAGTTATGTTTTTCAACCAAGCATCCTAAGAAATTAGAGGAAGTTGATACCATTTCAGAACTTCTTTTAAACATGTTCCCTTTAAAACTGCCTTAAAATATATCCACCTAATGCAATCCCGTAAGTTCACTTGCCTGTACTTGATACTTAGGGGGAAAAGATAGAAACCAGCTGAATCTAAAACAATCTTGTACACCCTTCTGTTTTCCCAACACCAGTGATTTACAGGCTTCTTGAATCAGAGGTCACATCCACACCACAGTTTCCCAAAGAGCCCACCCTATACGAGTGCACCAAACCCTTCAGCCACTTGTCTGGACTAGCTGGGCACAGAAAAGGGGGCAAAGGACACTGGAAGGGAAGGGGAGTGCACTAAAGGGCTGTTGCACAGCGAGACACAGCTGGATCTGGCAGGAGCTGCTGGAGCACTTCTCTGATGTGAGAACTGGGAGCTACACAAAGTCTCATTAGCCTTTAGTCCCTGCCAGCTTGACTTCACAGCTGGTGTGTATCTCCTGCACATGTGTGGTGTGTGGCAGCCAGAGGGGAGCTATCAAAGGCTCTGAATCAAGGGTTATGCTGCAATAAACACAAAACCAGCAGGATTTAGGGCTCCCTGCTGAGCTGCATTCAGGCCAGATGGAAGCATGCAGGAAAAAAAATCATAAAGGAATAGGATGCGGGTGCTAGTTGATCATCAAATCCTCAGATTACATTTTATCACCAGATTCTGACCCATTACTTGTCATTTTCAGGGCTGTGACATCTTTCAAGACAGTCTTATTTTCAGCCTCATAAACCTATAAAAATTCAGACCTTTGCAGTGTCACAAGTAAGCCCAGTCAGTGAATAATAGCACTGTTGTATCTGAGTCAACTGATCTAATTATTTCTCATGGCTTAGAAGGGATTTCAGACATTCACAGCTGCTTACACAAAGCATCACCTTTTTAGTATGAGAAAACATGGTACTAAAATTTCACATGATTATTTCAGCTCAGGCTGAAATGTCGCTGGTTTAAGATTGGTCACATATTTGCAATTCACTTAACTCATGTGTTCCTGTCCTCATCCTAACCACTGCTTGTGTAATTTATGTTGGTGCCCTCCCTAAGGCTCAAAACACATCCAACACCATGCTTAGTACATCTCTTGGATGTCTCTGATAACAACCATCTTTTCTTTTATTACCAAACTTGAGGTAATCATTTAACATTAAATAATGACAAATATTGATGTGTAAAATCCTGCATGTTGATATTATACAATCACAGCAGTTAAAGGTTAAATATATACAGAGTTCATCTATCATCTGTGTAACAGATATAGATTTGTTTTATGGAAATTTAGGGCTTACCTTTTGCTTACATGATCTATAGCTGTTGCCAGAAATGGGGTCCACAGCTGCAGGAGCACCTAAGCCCCTTCTGCCTCTGTGCCTTACTATGCTGTTGTGCAGGAAGAAAAATGGTGGCTATTTTCCCCTCCACTGCTGTACAATCTAGAGATAGGATCCAATACTGGAATTTTTAATAAATAGTCACTGCTTAGAGTCACAGCTCCATGTTCTTCTCTACCAAAATTCTTACTGTAAACACAAGTTTCCTGCCCAAGGACCCTTTGCTGGAAGAAGGCAGGAGGTTGGCACTGGGCATCTGTGTCATGGGAGCTGCCTGCCTCCAGCTGGACACGCACTCATGGGACCCAAAATCCAGGTCTGATGGAGCCTGGAAATACTGTGAATTAGCTGCCAGCCATAGCTTTGGTGCTTGGAAGAGGCCAGTGCTGGCTCCTGCCTCAGCTTGGGTTAGGTGGTGGCAGAAACTGGGACCCGGAACAAGTTTCTGTCACATACCAAGCTAATGTGGTAGGTATCCCATGACTCGAGAAGCTCTGACTTTCAGTGTCAGGGGCTTTTTTTATTATTTGCTCCACCACCACTATTGGTACAGTCCTATTTGTTCCAGTTACATTCTTAGGTGCATATAGGTTCACTGTCTCCCAGACATCACAGACTGAGACCACTTATTTTGTTCTCATTATAGCTAAGGAATGCTGCTCTGGGCTTGTTTTACTTATCTTTTCTTTCTCTTACTCCACACCCTAGCTCTCCACTCAGTTTCGCTGCTTTTTTTCTGAGGCCTTTCCAGCTTATCAATGCCTTCCCTCTAACGTAGTGCACTGAACTCAGTGTGATTCCCTAAGTTGGGTGGAATTAAATCAACATGAAGAAACACAGGCCCCATCTTGTTTTATCAGCTGGAATTCTGATATAAACACCTCAGAAAAAATTTGCAACCATATTTTGTTGCAGCCAAAGTGTTCTTCAAACTCAGCTCAATTATGGTGTTCTCCTTCAGATTTAGGTTTTTTCTGCCATTTGTCATTAACCTAATTATTTTCTTCCTATTTATACAGACAAAATCCTTACATAACACCCTTTTCCTCCAGAGACTTGATTTTAAAAATTCATGACTTTTAGAAATACATCAGCCTAATTCTTTGCCACATGGTATCATTGTTTTCTGCTGATGCTCTTTAGTCTTAGATTCTCTGTGCATGCTTATTGCTGTTTTCATTCCTTCCAATACTCATTTACATTTTAATTAATTAGTTTTATTTTATATCTTAATTTAGATCCCTCATTAAAAATCCATTACATTTGAGAATTAACATTAAATTAATAGGATGGAATAGGAACATCTGGAAAGAATATAAAACAGATATAAATTATCTTCTAATTTGCCTAACAGTTTTTAAAAGGGAAAAACTGATGGAGAAATTCTCAGAACAAGGACTTTATTTGTTCTTGAGATATTTAGGATCTGTGAAAAAAATAAATCCTAAAGTTTAAACAACAGAATTTTCACTTTTTTCCAATGCCCTCAGTAGCAACTGATGATCTGTATTTCAGGATAGTAACAACACTTACTCTAAACCCATTGCAAAAAACGGAAGTGAATGTACCACATGAGCAGCTAGAACGAGTATGAGATTCAGAAAGAGGCTTTTTTTTTATCTTGGGAGAAACACTGCTTCATATAAGTGCAGGCAGGAGGAAATAAGGAGTTGAGTAGAATAAAAATGGTGGAGATTCATATATATATATATATATATATATATATATATATATATATATATATGGTATATATGGACGAATACACACACACACACATATTTATTTTTTTTTCCTTAACTCAAAAATCTCACATTCAGACATTGGGAACTGATTCTGGGATATCAGCACCCCACCATTTGCACTAGAAAAATTAGTCTCTGTTGAAGCAAACATATTGTGAACAAATGTAGGTCAGTGAAGTTAGCATTTATAAATGCTAATGCATTTCTTTTATTTAGAAAACAACTAATGGGCTGCTTATTCAAGCAGAATCTATAGGTGTGGAAAAGTCACAATAAAAGATTTAGCCTCAGACTATGTGGGAAAATCTTTTCAGTACATGACTTTATGTTAAAAAATTAAGGCAGGAAAACCATGTGGCTTGTGGCTTTAACTGCTGTATTTTGCTTTGGCTTACCCTGTATCATTCCAAGAGGAGTTTTAGTATGCACAGCTGTGCACCTTGGCTTCAGGGGTAATTCTGCTGGTATGGCTGATAAAGTCTCTCTTGCAGGCAAACCCCTGGTTTTCCGAGGTCTGGTGCATGGGGAGCAGCTATGGCTTCAGGAACGTCCTGAAACATTCACCCCAACAGATCTGGCCTGAAGAGCAGTTCAAAAAAATCTGCTGGGACACATTAAACTACCATTTGAATGACACACTGGGATCATCTCAATCAAACCCAGCTAAAGCAATTAAGTGAATAGCATTGGTCTGACGGCCTCCCAAATTTTGCATTCATACCCTTCTTACAGACACCAAAAAGATTGTGCCTGCTTGGCTGAGCAGTGACAGAGAAAATGCTTCTCTCCATTTTCTCTGGCAAATAAATGCCTCTGTATACTCTATTTTTGCTTGTGATACACATCCTTCAGCTTATCCAGGCTTTCCAATGTATCACACATATTTCACTATAACAGCCCCCGCTCTACTGCTGTTAAAATTTCATAATAAAGAAAACAGTAATCATCAGTCTTAACTTTCCTGTATTTTTTTCTTCCCTGCGGGTAAGTCGTTACAGTATGTCTGATTATTAGGAACAAGGAATAAACATTTCCCTTCCATGAAGAACAGGAAACAATGTTTGGAGAACAATCAAGTCTATTCTCCATGGAAAAAAAAATGTAGTAATGGGGGGAGAGAGGCTTGACCTTTTTCCAAATTAAAAAAAAAAAAAAAAAAAAAAAAAAAGAAGAAGAAAGAAATCCACTTTCATCTGAAGAAAAAGAAATTAACTTATGTATTCACCCAGCCTGACCTCTTTTCTAAACATGTATTTTATTGTAAAGTACACTTAAATATCAAGTATAACTAGGAAAAGAAACCAAAACACTAGGAGTTCTGGACTTTGTATTTTGCTTTCATCTTGTGAAATTCTTGTTTATATCTGTACAATCTGCCATTGTAAATTATGTTTTCAGCTGAACATGAAAAAAAATGCACAAGATTCAAAGAGAGGCCATTCCTTTACATGAAGCACACATGAACACGCACTGCCACCTGTTCACAGCTGTGGTTTACATGGGAAAGTCAGCCTGGGAAATAACACCAGCAAAAGCAAAGCAACTGCCCCCTGACCACAGTCCAGCTGAGGTCTTGTAAACATCAACAGATCTCTGTGGTTTTCTTTTTTTTTCTGTGCTTTTTCCAATATTTATTAAATATCAGGGAGAAGAAGGAAAAAAACCCACTAATGAGTCTGGCAGCGCTATGTGCAGTGGTACATCCATTTCTTAATCAGACCCAGTTCGAAACCATCTCCTGTGTGTCTCCTGTCACCTGCCTCATCCCATTGCATTTGGTACTACACATTTCTGTTGTAGTGCACAGTCCTTCCCTTTGTTTTGCACAAAGACCGAATCCTTCAGTGTGGGGCAGTATGTAAGTTTGTTGCCAGAGCACCTAAGGAGTCACAATATGGTTCCCAGTTTGGCCCAAAGGGAGGAAGTAACAGATGCCAATTTTTAACTGATGAACAATGCTTCCCTGTGTGTCAGCTCAGACATGTGGTTTGTGCATCTGGGAGCTAAACACGAGGTTTAAATGTTCCCACTCTCACCCCACACAGCAGAAATTCGATGGAAATTTTCCTCCTCCCCGTGCAGTCCAACAGCTGCAGGGACTGTCGCAATATCGCCATGAAACCCCCCCCGGCCAGCGCTCCCCCTCTGGCCCCACAAGAGCCATGAGAACACTGCCACCTCTGTACACCACATTTCAGAAGAAAAAGCAAATTTGCCAGTCATATGTAGCAATGATGTTGCCAAAGCTGACAATTTTAGCATTAGTTTTGCCCTTTTGGGTGGTATTTCCCAACTTGCAGCAGCAGAATCTCAGGGAAGGGAAACACCTTTTTCCCTCTTTTTAAAGCATATTTCCAGATCTTTCAGTTAGGGGGAAAGAAATGTCTTGAGAAAAAATGAAGCATACAAAACTGTTGGGGCACAGAAGGCAGGGGGGCAAAGCAAAGAAGCTAATAGCTAATTTTCATGTTTTTTAATTCATTATTTTACCTGCAAACTCATTTTTACAGACAAAATCTTGGGGCTCAGACACCTGAGTTATGGAAACTGTAAAAGGTGCCTGCTGCCCCTCTGCATGCTTAAAGCTGTCACCTTTCCATCTCTGAGCTCCCAGCTTTCATGGCTGCTTGACAGGAACAGTGTAGCTGCTCTGATCTTACCTTGACCAAAACCAAGATGACAAGAAAGAGCAGTGAGAAGATCTGAACTGTTTATCCAAAGAGGGGAAAAACATATTGTAGAGGGAAATACAGTGAGTGATATCTATCAGGCACAAATTCCTACTTGCAGCTTGAAGGAGACATGAAACATTTTTCTTTAAAAGGCTTCACACTTAAAAATTGCCATGAACTGTAACCCTGAAACTCATTGCCATTACACTACAAAGCTCAAAAAACATCAAGAAGATTGATGCATATGGGAAAATTCAAACACTACCATGCACAGGGATACAAAGATGATGCAGAGAATTTGAGCTAGTGAGCAGGAAATGTATGGCCCAGTACCTGCAGCATGTAAAGATTACTGGGGTTTTATCCCAGAAAATAATACTCCACTGGTGCTTGCCAAAGCACTCAGCCTCCATCTGACATCAGACTGAGAGCTTGTTGATTAATATGTATAGGATAACCTTTCTGGCACATTACTTTAAAATTACAGGTTGCATTGTATCTGCGTTTCAGATTTTACTCTCTCCAGAACCAGACAGTCTGTTAAATGCACTCATCAAATAATATGTTTACTGAATTTCATGTTGCATTAAAAAGCTATTATTCAAAGGAATGTTCTCAATGGTTCATTCAGCTCTAGGCAAGGCTCTGCCATATGGGCTGTTGTTGACTGAATTTGCAAATCCTCCTACACATGCAGCAAAATACCAAGGCATCCCAAGAACAAGTTAACTTTATAAATCTCAGTCACCTTTTCCCTTTGCTTGAAACAATGCTGCTATTTGATTATTTGTAAAATTCCACTTGGGATATAATGATCTTTAGTCCCAACACATCACTACCCTGCCACATATTAACTTTCACTTAAGCAATTAATCTTGCAAACTCAAAACATTTTTTTCTTTTTGTCTAAGAAATCTCCTGTCTGGGGTCTACTTTAAAAATATAAGGAGCAAATCTGCCAGTAGTTGTCTCAACACTGGGTACACAGCAAAAGGCTGATAACCATTTCTTAGAGATTTAGTTGAACGTTTATCATAAACTATGGGAATATTCTAGCAAGTTATACTTAGCATTCATTAATGATAAAAATTGATTAATTTATATTTTGACTTTCCATGTGGGTTTTAATGCATATTATGGGCTGGATTCCACCTACCTTGTGAGTATTTTTTATTTTAACTCAATTTTTAAGCTGGCTTGTTTGTTTTGACTGGCCTCTGCTTGATACCACCTGATTTACGGAGTTAGAGTTAAAAAAAGAAACCAGTCCAGAAGTCGGCAGTTGTAGACTCCTTCATATCTTTCTAATCGTACTTAAGAAATTAAATATTATCCAAAAAAAAGTTTACTTTCCATCTGTACTTTTGAACAACACAAAATTATGGACCTAAATACAAAATCTATGGACCTCTATAAGAGGCGATCCTCTGGGAAAACAATGGCACAGCAGTAGTGACACCATTTCTGCTCTGGCAATGCACAGTCCAGAGCCTGCTGGTTTTGGCACCATCATAGGAAGGATTTGCCACAGAGACATGCCATAAAGTTCTTGAAAGGAAAGACAATGTTGGCAGTTGGAGTGTTTGGGAATTGAAAGCTACCAGAGAGCTCCTGTGGTCATAATCTTTGATAGTTTCATAGAATCATAGAATATCCTGCGTTAGAAGGGATCATCGAGTCCAAGTCCTGCCCTGCATAGGACAGCCCAAAGAATCACACTGGGATGTGAGGCCTGAAAGCATTGTTCAAATGCTTCTCAAACTCTGTCAGGCTTAGAGCTGTGACCACTTCTATTCCAAAGCCCAACCACTCTCTGGGTGAGGAACCTTGTTGTAAACCCCTCCTGACACAGATTTATGCCATCCCCTCAGGTCCCACGGTTGGGACAGAGAAGAGATCAGTGCCTGCTCATGAGGAAGCTGTAGGCTGCAGTGAGGTCTCCCCACAGTCTCTTCTCCAGGCTGAACAGACCAAGTGACCTCAGCCACTCCTCATAAGGCTTCCCCTCTTCCCCCATGTTCACACCTCTCTTTTAGACACTCTCTAATAGCTTTATATCTTTTTTTCTATTGTGGTGCCCCAGACTGCCCCCAGCACTCGAGGTGAGGCTGCCCCAGTGCAGAGCAGAGCAGGACAATCCCTCCTTTCCTGGCTGGTGATGCTGTGATTGATGCACCCCAGGACAGGGCTGGCCCTCCTGGCTGCCAGGGCACAATGACTCGTGTTCAACTTGCCATTGACCAGGAATCCCAAGCCCCTTTACTCAGCACTGCTCTCCATCCCCTTGTTCCCCAATCTGTCCCCACACCCAGGGTTGCCCCATGCCCACAGTGATAATATAAATGGCTGCAAGCAAGGCAAAATTGCCATCAGCAAGCACAACCCAGATTCAAGGCATGACTCCAGGCGTGACCTGAGAACTTGTATCAAACTGTCAGCTGTGTCCTGTAGAAACTGCACAGAACTTCAAAGCTCAATCTGACAGTGAAGTTGCAGCTCTGAGTGACAAACTGGCTGCTGATGTTGTCACCAGTGACGGGGGACATGTCTGCAAGAATTTGAGGAAAAAGATTCATACCTTCATTAGAGTTTAGCAGCTAGCAAGAATCCCATAAGATATCAGGCTGAGACCAATCAAAACAAACTGGAGGTTTGATATTTCAAGTCAGTTTTAAAAATACAGACAATGAGGAACTGTTTGAAACAATTGTGAACTTTCAAGCTGTTTTTATAGTTTGTCTTGAATTTTTCCCAAAAGAACACTATCTTATCTTGGTGTGAGAAATGGCATGCAAGAGGGGAAAAAAAATCCTACATTTCTGCATTTTCAAAGAACAGAAAATAATATAGAATTAATATCTTTTTGGTGCAAACTCCTCTCCACCCTTCCCGAGTGATCCTTAGCAGCTGTCCATTTCACTGTCATCTCCCAATAGAAAATTTTGTATTTTCATGTTCTGCCTTCCACTGGATAAAATCTGACCTTGTCAAGCTATACTAATATTGCATACATGCTGTGCCTGGCCACATGGACTTGCCTGGTGGTCACCAAACTGTTGTTTTGGTTTCACTGGACCCACTCTGTCCCTCTGGCTAGGAAGAGGTGACAGCACTTGTCCCTGCCAGCCTCATCTGCCAGTCTGCCTCCACTCCCATGGCTCCCTGAGATACATGCACAGGGACAAGGTCATCTTCCAGTGTTCTCCTTGCTCTCCCCACTCCTAGAAATGCAATTCTTTCTCTGTGACTAGTGCTGGAACCTGCCTTTTAATGCAAGGCTTTCAGCTGAATTGTGCTGCAATATGCTTACTCTTGCTCTTGTCTTCTCTGCTTGGTTCCATTTTCAAGCTAACTGTATGACAAGCAGCACAGCCTAGATAAAC